AAATTTTTTGGTTTTTTTAACTTTAGAGTGAAAAAAATATTTTTTAAGTCAAAACTTAAAAATATCATCTTTTACAAATCGTCCTAAATAAGGTTGGTAACTCTTAAATATTATTTAGCAAAAAATATTCATTTTCTTTTTAATTTGTACAACAACGTTGTGAAAATTTGAAAATACTTTATCAAAAGACATTTCAAATTTGATAACATTCTATTATTATCTATACTTAATGTTTTTGTTAAATAACAAAATTTAATCCAAATTGAATATTTTTAAAAAAAAAACTTTAGCCTCTAATATTATGGGGAAGGAAAAGAAAATGCCTAAAAGGATAGTCATTCATCAGCAGTTTATGGGATGTTAATAAAAAACCAAATTAGATGGTCATTCATCAACAGTTCTTTTCATGATGGCACTAAATTAGTATCTAATAGTGATGATAAGTATATCCCAATCATTAAGCTCAGCCAGAAGAATAAAAAAATAAAAGGTTAGTTTGCACTTCATTTTTGCATAGTTTTTTGACTCGCAAATCCCGGGGCTATACCTGCATAGTTTTTTGACTCACAAATCCCGGGGCTATACCTGCATAGTTTTTTGACTCACAAATCCCGGGGCTATACCTGCATAGTTTTTTGACTCACAAATCCCGGGGCTATACCTGCATAGTTTTTTGACTCACAAATCCCGGGGCTATACCTGCATAGTTTTTTGACTCACAAATCCCGGGGCTATACCTGCATAGTTTTTTGACTCACAAATCCCGGGGCTATACCTGCATAGTTTTTTGACTCACAAATCCCGGGGCTATACCTGCATAGTTTTTTGACTCACAAATCCCGGGGCTATACCTGCATAGTTTTTTGACTCACAAATCCCGGGGCTATACCTGCATAGTTTTTTGACTCACAAATCCCGGGGCTATACCTGCATAGTTTTTTGACTCACAAATCCCGGGGCTATACCTGCATAGTTTTTTGACTCACAAATCCCGGGGCTATACCTGCATAGTTTTTTGACTCACAAATCCCGGGGCTATACCTGCATAGTTTTTTGACTCACAAATCCCGGGGCTATACCTGCATAGTTTTTTGACTCACAAATCCCGGGGCTATACCTGCATAGTTTTTTGACTCACAAATCCCGGGGCTATACCTGCATAGTTTTTTGACTCACAAATCCCGGGGCTATACCTGCATAGTTTTTTGACTCACAAATCCCGGGGCTATACCTGCATAGTTTTTTGACTCACAAATCCCGGGGCTATACCTGCATAGTTTTTTGACTCACAAATCCCGGGGCTATACCTGCATAGTTTTTTGACTCACAAATCCCGGGGCTATACCTGCATAGTTTTTTGACTCACAAATCCCGGGGCTATACCTGCATAGTTTTTTGACTCACAAATCCCGGGGCTATACCTGCATAGTTTTTTGACTCACAAATCCCGGGGCTATACCTGCATAGTTTTTTGACTCACAAATCCCGGGGCTATACCTGCATAGTTTTTTGACTCACAAATCCCGGGGCTATACCTGCATAGTTTTTTGACTCACAAATCCCGGGGCTATACCTGCATAGTTTTTTGACTCACAAATCCCGGGGCTATACCTGCATAGTTTTTTGACTCACAAATCCCGGGGCTATACCTGCATAGTTTTTTGACTCACAAATCCCGGGGCTATACCTGCATAGTTTTTTGACTCACAAATCCCGGGGCTATACCTGCATAGTTTTTTGACTCACAAATCCCGGGGCTATACCTGCATAGTTTTTTGACTCACAAATCCCGGGGCTATACCTGCATAGTTTTTTGACTCACAAATCCCGGGGCTATACCTGCATAGTTTTTTGACTCACAAATCCCGGGGCTATACCTGCATAGTTTTTTGACTCACAAATCCCGGGGCTATACCTGCATAGTTTTTTGACTCACAAATCCCGGGGCTATACCTGCATAGTTTTTTGACTCACAAATCCCGGGGCTATACCTGCATAGTTTTTTGACTCACAAATCCCGGGGCTATACCTGCATAGTTTTTTGACTCACAAATCCCGGGGCTATACCTGCATAGTTTTTTGACTCACAAATCCCGGGGCTATACCTGCATAGTTTTTTGACTCACAAATCCCGGGGCTATACCTGCATAGTTTTTTGACTCACAAATCCCGGGGCTATACCTGCATAGTTTTTTGACTCACAAATCCCGGGGCTATACCTGCATAGTTTTTTGACTCACAAATCCCGGGGCTATACCTGCATAGTTTTTTGACTCACAAATCCCGGGGCTATACCTGCATAGTTTTTTGACTCACAAATCCCGGGGCTATACCTGCATAGTTTTTTGACTCACAAATCCCGGGGCTATACCTGCATAGTTTTTTGACTCACAAATCCCGGGGCTATACCTGCATAGTTTTTTGACTCACAAATCCCGGGGCTATACCTGCATAGTTTTTTGACTCACAAATCCCGGGGCTATACCTGCATAGTTTTTTGACTCACAAATCCCGGGGCTATACCTGCATAGTTTTTTGACTCACAAATCCCGGGGCTATACCTGCATAGTTTTTTGACTCACAAATCCCGGGGCTATACCTGCATAGTTTTTTGACTCACAAATCCCGGGGCTATACCTGCATAGTTTTTTGACTCACAAATCCCGGGGCTATACCTGCATAGTTTTTTGACTCACAAATCCCGGGGCTATACCTGCATAGTTTTTTGACTCACAAATCCCGGGGCTATACCTGCATAGTTTTTTGACTCACAAATCCCGGGGCTATACCTGCATAGTTTTTTGACTCACAAATCCCGGGGCTATACCTGCATAGTTTTTTGACTCACAAATCCCGGGGCTATACCTGCATAGTTTTTTGACTCACAAATCCCGGGGCTATACCTGCATAGTTTTTTGACTCACAAATCCCGGGGCTATACCTGCATAGTTTTTTGACTCACAAATCCCGGGGCTATACCTGCATAGTTTTTTGACTCACAAATCCCGGGGCTATACCTGCATAGTTTTTTGACTCACAAATCCCGGGGCTATACCTGCATAGTTTTTTGACTCACAAATCCCGGGGCTATACCTGCATAGTTTTTTGACTCACAAATCCCGGGGCTATACCTGCATAGTTTTTTGACTCACAAATCCCGGGGCTATACCTGCATAGTTTTTTGACTCACAAATCCCGGGGCTATACCTGCATAGTTTTTTGACTCACAAATCCCGGGGCTATACCTGCATAGTTTTTTGACTCACAAATCCCGGGGCTATACCTGCATAGTTTTTTGACTCACAAATCCCGGGGCTATACCTGCATAGTTTTTTGACTCACAAATCCCGGGGCTATACCTGCATAGTTTTTTGACTCACAAATCCCGGGGCTATACCTGCNTTCAATTTGTTACTCTTCTGATGGTACTACATTAGCATCTGGTAGTGATGATAAGTCTATCCGCTTATGGGATGTTAAGACAGGATAATAAAAAGCCAAATTAGATGGTCATTCATCAACAGTTTATTCAATTTGTTACTCTCCTGATGGTACTACTTTAGCATCTGGTAGTGATGATAACTCTATTCGTCTTTGGAATGTAAAAACATCAAAGGAAATACTTCAATCAGATAATAGCTATAAAGATTTGCTTTCCTAGTTTAACATACCTCTTCAGAATAGCTCCTTATTGCCAAATGGTATTTATTATTATTATTATTTAGTTAATCCTGATCGTACAATATTTAGAATATGCTAGAATCCTTGGTTAGAAGCATCAGGAACACTTATCTTATAAGGACAATTCATGAATTATTAAGGGATAGATTTAAAACCATTGTTTAAATCCAAAGGAAGCTGCTTTTTAGAAGACTTAAAGCAATAGTGAATTTGAATATTCATTAAAAATATTACAATTATAATTTTTATCATTTTCATAAAACTTTTTTCATAATATGTGTTTTTTTGTTACTATTTAAAATAATTTAGATGTCAGAAACAACGGTTATTAATTCATATTTATAGACGTTCAATATACTATTAAATTTATAATATTAACAGTAAACAGGTTTAGTCGTAACAAAGATTACTAATAGTTTAGTAAAATTTAGATCTTAGTTAAGAAAAGGTAATGATACAATTAATAACAAAGATAAGAAGAAAGATACATTCAAATAATTAAGAAAATAAAATTAAACTTACTACTATTATTTATTATTTTCAATTGATTTTAAAAGTATTAGAGAGAATAAAGGACTGAAAAGATATATTAATCATCAATAAGTATTCCAACCGCTAATAAGATTTAGAGATCTTAATTATCTCCATCCCTAACAATAATGTTAAATAATCTCTATATGAATTACATCCAAAGGAGCTACTTTCAAAAATAATTTTGCATATAAGGAACAGTTATTAATCATTAAGATAAGAACTATGTAATCTTACCTCAAGTTGATTTTTTTTAGAAATTAATTAATATCTACACAACGATAATATCAGTCAACTAGTTCAATTTTATTAATTGATTATGAAATTAAGAAATTATTCAAGATTGGTATTGAGATTAGAATTAACTAAATTTATTGATATTAGATAAATGTAGTATTTTCTCTTAAAAAGTTTTAATGTTACAGCCTTCCAAAAAATGTAATATTTGTAATTATTAAGATTTGTGAAATACTTTCCTTACCTTTATTTTATTATATTTTTATAAATCGAACAATCTTTCATTATTCAAGGTCCTGAATCTCATTTCGATTTTCTAAAGGATATTAAATCGTTTCTTACTCCTTTTCTAAATTATTTTTCTCTTTAAATTCAACTATTTTGTGGTGGATATTATAAAATTTTAGAATGATTGTGCTGCGCAGGTAATTCCTTAAATAGCTCAAATGAATCATTTTTATTGACTTGATCTTCCATACTTGATTCCTTGAAATTCATTAATGTTTACTCTTGCATTATTTTAATTTGATTAACATTTACAACAGATTTTAATAACTGGTATGATATTCTTTGGTTAATACCACATTAATGAAGATGAAATTGAAATTTTACTTTAATATGTTTAATATAACATAGAATAACATTATTTCCCTGAAAATGAAATTCAAAATTATACACAAAATATCTTTTGTTCTAAGAATCTTATTGGCATTTTCATGAATAGATCAAATATCAAATAAAGAGAAATGGGTAATACATTTACAAATTGAATAAACATATCTAGAATGACCATCAGATTTGGATTTTTTATCCTGTCTTAACATCCCATAAACGGTAGAACAATCTCCATTACAATCATGATTCCCAACGCCAGATGCTAACGTAGTACCATCAGGAGAGAAACAGACTGACAAAACCCAATCTGAATGACCATCTAATTTATTTAACTCATGTATTTTAATATTTTTCCATTTACAATTAAACAATTAAGCTTAATTCAAGTTCATTCCACTTATATCCACATTATCAAATTAGGATCTATTGAAATTGCATCTTACAAAATTTCCTCCGATCAAAGAAGTATCTTTAATTTCTTATATTCTCAAAATATTATTATCTCAAATCCACCTTCATCTCTACTATTAAATTGAGTGTATGTTTTCTCATGAATTATTTACCTTCTTTTTTTATGAATTACATAAATCCTTTCAACTCTGAATTAAACTATTCACAAAAAGCCTAAGTTTCTTTCCAATAATTTTTTGTCATTTCCTAGAGCTCAAATAAGATTCTTTCTAATTATTCCTGTCAACAAATGTTTTCCAATTATTATTTATACTAATTTTTCTAAGTCAGTATTTGACAATTCTGTAGGATTATCATTTTTTTTAATGAAATTCATATAGAATTTATCTTCCATCTCAAGCAAATCCTATAACTGGTTTATTGATTCTGCTAACTCCTTCCAAATTAATTTTAACTTATTTTTAGTTGCATAAAGCATTTCTTTAAAATTCTTTCTTCGCATAGTTAATTCAGATGAATCGTTAAGTCTTGATGATTTTAATTTCGACACAACCATTTTCTGAACATCTGAAACTGTTTGTTTTTTTTCTACCTCATGTTCATATAAACAATCAACACATAATTTCCTTTGATGTGAACACTTGTGGGGAGCTATACATATTATTGATACATAATTTCGAATATGATGAGTGCAATTCATAATCTTTTTTAAAATAATTTTGAATTTCCATTACTTTTTTTTGAGTTTAACAATATAAATAAAAAGTATTTTGTGAAAATTTAAACAAAATTTCTTAACCAATTTACTGAAATTTTGTTGAAATATAATATCTATTTTATCATATTTTTTTATTGGACATGACTTATTACGATAGTTTTTTGTTTCATTAGTGTCTGTTTCTTTGGTGTAGAAAAATAATAAAAAGTATGTTTTTAATGAGTTTTAATTCCTACTTATTGATGGTTT